ACTACTATATATATATATATATATATATATATATATATAATCTAAACTTCACAACCCTTCAAATTACAAAGGTTCAAGATAGAGAGAGTTGTGAAGGGTGGTGGATTTATTAATTTTGTAGTTTATTTTTTAAAAAAAGTTACTTTTGTGGGCAATTTTGTAAATTTACTACAAGACAAAGGGTACTTTTGTCATCTCCATAAGGGGTAAAATTGAAATTTTAACTAAAGGATAAAAGCACTCTACAAATAAAGTTCCAGGACACTAACTTCCAAAATACCATTGTATTTTTGTGAAAATTTGAAATTTGCCATTGCTTAATGGTAAAGTTACCAATTTAAATAATTTTTTAATAAAAAGGTAATCATTGTTTTGATAAATACACCCATCACAACCCCTTCTAACTTGAACCTTTGTATTTTAAGGGGTTGTTAACTCTAGACAAACCCATATATATAAAGGATTTAACTTACTAGAATTTCTTGCTAGTCACCTCAGCTACATTATACACCAAGGATACAGATGTAGTGTCATCTCAAGTAAAATAGATATAATTCAAATGGCACTATATACTATGAGACCATTTACTTTTGGAACAAGGAGGTCACAATCATTCTTAGTCATAGGATGTGAAATCTTACAGATTATGCGTGTCACACCATTCGAGAAATTTTATTTTGGACTTCGTGCCTAGCCAATGATACATCCCAAACCACTCGATTTCACATCTAATGGTCCATATTGATTTTGACCTCTTTGTACCAAAATTAAATTGTCTTACCATACATAATTTTAAATCGAACTACATAGTCGTGTGATAGATACAACAGAACATATCCATTTAACTAATGCACACTGAAACATGATTTCCAAATAAATCGCATGTCACTTTCTAGTGTTGTAGTCAGAAGAAAAATTAAGTATTAAACAACATAAGTCCAAGGTTTTTTCTTCCTTTTATTTACAGACAAGTAATCAAGGTCGTAAAGAGAGTTGAATGCCACAATCTGGACCCATGACAACTTTTAGGTAAAACTAAAAGGGAAAGTATAAAATGAGACCATTTACCTTTGGTATAATGCGGTCACAATTAATCTTAACCATTGGATGTGAAATTGGGTTGTTGCATTTATTTTATTGACCAAGTTCAGAGTTCAAAAAAAATTTTCTCGAACTTTGTGATACACCTAAGCTATCAGATTTCGCATCGGATGGTCGTCAGTAATTGTGACCTCCCTATATCAAAGTAAATGGTCTCATTGTATACAATCCCAAAGTAAAAATAAAATAACATTTTAAAAATACTATCTTATCCAACATTTTCTCAAACAACAAAATAAAATTCTAAACATACTCGTATGCCTTCAACTGAAGAAGAAGAATACTAACATACCAGAATTTCAGAAACCCATGTCGTCGAAAGTGTAGAGCCATGAAATTCTCCCCCAAAAAAGTCTGTATAAATCTCTGGGCTGTCAAAATAATAAGCCGGTTTGGTTGAATGATAGTTTTACACTTGTGAGCAACTGGACCACCTGGTTGCATCACCCATTCCTCCTCTACATTGGCATAAAACAAGTCCCCAACCGCCAAAACTTCATCTTTGCAAGAAAACTTCTCAGTTATCTCGCTAACATGGGGATGAGACGGAATTTCATTTTTTAACTTTACATCCTCTTTCCAAGCCACTTCAAGTTTCCCAATTTGGATTCCCAAACCCTTGAGTTTCTTAATATGCTCCTCATCCAAATAACAAGGGGTTGAAGCCATATAACAAATCAGCCGATCGATTCGTACCTTATCCTTCTTTAACTGAGAGAATTCTTCAAATGTGAGTACGGCTTTAACACCCAAGCATTTGTTTATGTGTTCGATATCTATGACCCTATCATATTGGTAATCGAATTTAGGGTTTGGCAAGATCAGAGCTCGACCCAAAACAGCGGCAAAAAACATGTGTTTTTGCAAGCAAATCAAGTGGTTTGACATCTGGCCAGAAACACAAATTGCAAACAAATACGTGTTGGGTTTTGGCTTCCATTCAATGGTTTTCCTCTCCTTTCCGTAGTTCCATTTCCCACATTTACTGTAAGACCCAAATCCATTGAAATACTCGTCAGAGTTCACTGATCCAGATCCATTTCCAAATTGATGAGAAGATAACAAAGCCTGCTCAACTTCATTGCTCAATTTGATCTGTTTAATCAATTCCTTCTTGAATTCACCGAGCGAAATCATTGGCGAGGATTTTTTCTCATTCAAATTATCTGGGACACTAAATGTAGAATTCGAGGAAGAATTTGTAGGCACTGAAGCAGTGGAATTTGATGAAATTTCAGAGCTAGGGTTACTGAATGACTGGTTGAAGAGGCGAAAAAGCCCTGATTTCTGAGTTCTGAGGAGATTCAAAGCCCTAAGCTCTGCTTCTCTCATGAGACTAATCTGAGAATCAATGGGGCTTTGAAAGCAAGAAGAAACTTGGAAAAACCTCGAAAAATCAGTGGAAAAATACAGTAATACGAGGAAGAGAGGGAGGAGAAACGCCAAGAGATACCGCCTGTGCAAGAAAGGGAAGGATTTGAAGGTTTTGGTAACTGGTTCATCAATCTCGAAGCTGGACCGTTGGATCTTGGCTTCGTCTGTGCTCTCCCGATGGATCAGGCGCTCCTGATCTTCTTCATCGTCTGATTCTCTCGCCATCACTGTTGGCCTGAGAAAAAAATACGGTTTTGAGAGAGAATTGGGGTTTAAAAGAGGAAAAAATAGGGATTTCAGAGAATGGGTATTGGTGAATGCTCTGAGAGTGATAGTCGCAATTTGCAAATTTTGCAGGTGCCACAATGTTGGCGATCATACAAAAAGAGAACAAAAGCCTCACGAATAGTGTGTGTGTGTTTTTTTTTATAATCTTTTTTTTTTTTTGATAATCTACTAAAGGTTAATATTTGAATAAACCATGGGTTGGATTTAATAACTAAAATCGTTGGCTCAAAGCAACCAGAAACGGCTAAGGTGGGTTTTTTTGGTTGGCAGCGGGGGAGTTATTTTTTTGTGATATATTATTGTAAAATAATTTTAAAATAAGAATGATATTTTTTAATAGACACACGTACCAGAATTAATTTTAATATTTGTCTTTGTATTTTGAAGGGTAGTCAATTTTAAACAAACCTTTTCTTTACTCACTAAAAATCAGATATACTACTTTTTTTTTTTTTACTTCACTAAAATAAGATATACACACCTCTTTTTTTTTTTTTTTTTGTTTAAGAGAAAAGATCATAACTCCTAATTAGGTGGTTTAGCCCACAGTTATCGGCATCGGATTGGTCTTCCAACGAGTGATGGTCTGGCCAAAATTGATTCAACAATCAATTGAAAACTAAATATTTAAATATAAAAATATATATAAAATGTTACTATAAAATACATAACGTATTAAAAAAAATAGTATTACACAACATTGGCCAATCGTACCTATCGAAACCAGCGGGGCGCATTTATAATTTTTTTTTTTTTTGTTAATATCTTTTATAGATGCGCTCTAATGAAAAGATGGCACGTACCAAATTTTGTATTCAATGAGAAGATGACGCGTACCAAATGAGAAGATGGTACGCATCAAATTTCATATTCAAAAAAATTGTATTAAAAAAACTAAAAATAAAATACTTTGAGACGTCGGATCTAAGATCAAATGGTGAGTGACTCACTTGATTAAAAATAGACGGCTGGATGGTAGGAGGAACATATAACTTCTATGTTGTAGGGGGAACATAGAAAGCTTTCCAAGTTTATATAGGGCCGAGGCTCTAAACAATCAAATTCGAGCCTACCTTAAAAATTTCACTAGAAGATATTGTTTTGATTCCCAAATATCCTCGAATTCTTCATCTCGATATCAAGATGCATGGACATGATATAAAAATAGATTTCAAGTTTTGGAAATAGTATATTTTGTAACACACTTTTAGACCGTCAAATTTAAAGATTTTCAAGTTTTCATAGATCTCTCGATCTATATTATTTTTTAAGCTTTAAACTTTATAAATAAAGATAAAAATATATTTTAAGGCTATCAAAACGATTTCTAATATTGAAACCATATTTTTCGACACTATTTGAAGGTAGGCTCTAATTTGATTGTTTAGAGCCTAGGGTCTATACAAACCGCAGCCCTTATTTAATGATAGGAAAAGTTTAAATAAGGTTGCAAGAATTAAAGATGCACCTCAAAATCCACCATAAAAGGTTATTTGGATGTTGAAAAACCCTCTAATTGATCATCTAAATATCGAGATGTATAAATATGAAAAGAAAAAAAGATCTCAAGTCCGTGAAACATTATATCTTGTAACACATTATCTGGACCGTCCATTTTCAAGATTTTCATATGTTTATAGATCTACTTGATTTGAACCATTTTTAATATTTAAAATTTTATAATTAAAGATGAGAATAGATTCTCAAACAATCTTAATAATTTTTTATATCAAAATTATATTTATGATAAAATTTAGAGATGCGTCTTAATTTGATTGTTTAAAGTTGCAACTTTATGAAAACCACACCCTTTAATGAAACTCTGTTTTCAAGGCTTGAAGAAGCAAAGAATTTACATGTGAAGGGTGAGTATAGAGAAATGCCAAAGGTACCTTTATTTCCATTTTTTTTTTTTTTCACTTACCTGAAAGGCGACCTTAAATATTTTCCAATGGAAAGATTGAATACTTGTTTAGCACAAGGTCCCAAACCCTCTGTCATCCCCTTCATGCTGCATATCACCAATTCACTTGCAAACACTGTCCCCAACTTCAATGACCTGCAAATTCCTCCCCCTCCATTACTATTCACTATATGAAGAGAGAGAAAGAGAAAGTGTATGTGTGTGTTTAGGTGGTAGAGAGAGCAAGAGCGAGAATGGGTGTTTACACAGGTGAGAGAGAGAAGGTCGTTGTTTAGGACCTTTAGGTAGGCTGCAGGTCTTAATCATTTGTTATGAGAGAGAGAGAGAGAGATTTGGTAGGCAATC